CGTTGTGATGATGCTATTTTATCCCATTCTTCTCTTTTAGATGAGCAGTAGATTTTCTCATTTTATTAGCATATGCATTAGTTGTTGGGCAGTGTAAACTTCACAAATCGGATCCAGCATAGTTTAAAAGAAACCGCCTTATTTCGTAGTTTGGGCCTTTAAATAAAAAGCTTTGCTACTTTTACATCTTGATGTCTCTATACTCTACTCTTGCGAGTTGCGATGGCCAGGTATTGTTTGGATTGATTATAATTGGAAGATTTTTAAGAGAGAAAACTAATAAATATGTCCACCTACTATATATTCTGATCTGGAATAAAATAAGAATAAGCAATAAGTAATAAAAATAAGATGAACATAACAACTTCTAAGTCCACATACTATTTCGTTATTCAAGTAAGTCTATCGAGTGTAAAAAAATGATCAAACTTGCCTTTTTGATCATTTGTGGGCATGAAAGAAGGGGGGATAGAAGGTTGGGTAGAAAAAATAGAGTGGAGAAGAAGAGATAGAAGAAGGGGGAAAAGAAAGCAAAGGGAAGGAATAAGGGGTGAACTACTGAGCAAGAATGAAGGCAGGGGGAGGTTGGTTGGGGACTTGGGGCTGTCGAGAAGCAGTGGGGAAGAAAAAGAGAGAAGAAAAGGGGAGAAGGACTTGCAACCTTGCAGGGAGAAGAAGGGAAGGGGAAAAGAAAAAAAAGAAACGAAGAAGGGGGGAATTGCGGGGGCGGATGACCTAGAGAAAAAAGGAAAGAACAAAAATGCTATAAGTACCCCAAATTAGTACCCCATTTGCACCCCAAATTAGTACCCCATTTGCACCCCATATAACCCGCTCCCCATTTTTACCTCACTGCGTTCTCTTTCTTCCAAAACCCCCGTTTTCTCTTCCTTCCAAAACCTCCCCTATGACTTCGAACTACCCAACCCAGAACGTCGCTGCAACTTCAAACTACCGAAGAACCCCGAACCCAACAACCGCGCGACTTCACCGACCAACACCTCGTCTAACCCTCCCCTCATCTCACCCTACCCAACCCATCCGCTGAAACACCTCCCCTCTTCGTCACCCTTGAATCGTCAATGCCTGTCGCACAAACAACTCATTTGTTTGTCTACATAGAACCATTGTCTGTATGCACATGCAAGTATTGATACAACTGTATTTTAATAGTACTTTTTGATGAATTTAGTAATTGGTAATGTAGTTATATAAATGTGTTCAGACATGGTTGTATTTGTTAATGTACAGATGAATTTGGTGACAACAAAACATGTATACTATTGTCTGTGTGGACAGACAAAATAATGTGTTGTGTTTTGTATCATTTTGAACATGTATATGTTTTCGGAATAACATATGAAGAAGAAGAAAATAGTTGTATTAAAGGCCCTGATATTGGTATGTAGTTCCCTAGTAAAGAATTATTTTAATAAATCTAAATAAACTATCATATCAAGATTACAACTTTTTGAACAACAACGGTTAGACAAGTGTGAATGATAAGTGGTTGGACTTAAACTTTAATTTGTTGTGATTAACCATTGTATGCAGTTTTGAATCAACTAGTTTTTGAAGTGAACATTAATTTTCTGTATTAACGCAATGTGTGAATGATAAGAGGTTGGATTGAAACATTAGTTTGTTGTGAATTACCATTGTTGGCATTAAGTATACACATGCAGACAATAAGTATGCACATACAATACATATGATATATCTAGACAGACAATAGAGATAACCAGACAAACATCATTTTTACGAGAGAGATAATAACTTGACACATACAGACAATACGGTGGATACCTAGATAGACAAAAATGGATATTTGTACATGTAATGTTTGCAAAAACTTACACTATAATTTTAATTAATTAACAACTCAAAATCATTACAATGAAACAAACTAATCAATTATTCAATGTTATATCATAGATAATATACATAAAATTGAAAAAAGAAAAAATAAAATAAAATAAATCAGAAATAGAGTACGTACCTCATGATCTGAGAAGTGATGCTTACCTTAGAGACAACTAAATGGGGAGGTCTTGAGACCTTCAAAAATGGAGATTATAGAGCTCTTAAAATGAAAAGGGGAAAATAATGGGGAATGGGGATGGGAGAATAGAAAGGGGTGAACAACACAAAAAAAATGGAGGATGTGGGATGAGAGATGTTTGCAAGAGGTAAAAAATGGTAAAAATGGGGAGGCTTTTATATGAGGTGCAAACGAGGTACTAATTTGGGGTAGTTATATCCCCCTATTGATAATTAATTTAATTCTAATAATTAAAATTTACATATTTTAAAACTACATTAAAGTCTATAGGATTGTAAAATCTAAATTAATTTTAATTAAGAATTGATATCTTAATTAAGTGAATAAAATGAATCTATTTGACTCAAAAAGTCAATTTGGTAATTCATTTTAGGACAGAGGGAGTATATAACATGTGAGCTTATCTTAATTTGAAGTTTATGATTGGATCATGTTGCTTGGTATTGTATTCGACACTATTTCAAATTTGCAATCGATACAACTTAAAACACCTGCATATAATTCAAGATTCGTGTTCTCTTATACTCTATAGTGTAACTGTGTAAGGGGTTTTAAGAGTTTAAAATGTCTAAAATGGATTTTTAGACTCTTAATAAAATGGATTTTTAGACTCTTAAATCTATAAACTATACATTGGGAGCTGGAAAACGGTTATATGAGGGGTTACAAATGTAAAGGGGGAAGACATAGTCTATTGTTAGCTGGTTGATGGGCTCTTAGGCTAAAAGAAAAAGTATACGTGGGTGGAGGAAATGAGAGGAAGATTTCCGCACATGCATGGGCTCAAAGTTTTTACGGAGTAACTTTTAACTATGACACCAATATGAAGTTCCAACTGCATGAGATTTCAGGCCTAAAATTTGTACATCGAAAGCTGCATTTTTTCATAACTATTTGGAAAAAAATCCGTAAAAAAATATCACCTATAGTAATTTAAGTACTATTTTACTAAACTAATACTTCGTATGTAAAACTATACCGTGTATGTATTTTATTGATGGTGCTGAGATTTCGTAAACGATGAAATCCATGCAGTTTTCATATTTATACCCGTAAAACTAATACTCAGAGAAAAACGATATTAACTTTTTAGTCTATACGTTGTTTTCATATTGATGAAGTCTATATTTAAATGTTTAGACGGTGTAGAGATATGAATAACCTTGCAAGGGTTTTAATGAGAACCATGTTATTGTGAGAGCATCTTCATAATATACCTCTCATAATGAAATTTTCTAATTGTTCTATATAATTGCTAAAAAGTCTAATCTTAAAAACACTATCCTATATGAATCGAGAAAATGAAAAATTGAATTAAAGTTAGTCTTTAAAAAGATAAAAAAAAATCCACTTATATCTATCCTAGAAAAGTGAGAAAAAATGTGACTTAGTATCTATTAGTGACTATAATTATACTCAAATTATTACATTGTAATAACTTACATTTAGTTACTATGATGTAAGTCTTGAACATAATTATAGTCATCAGTAGTGAATGCATTTAATTATCAAGTGCTACCAGTTGTTTTCATCATAGTTTCATACTTGTCTCGCTCATACTTCCACAATTTACCACTATGAAACTGCATTTTTTATTTCGGATTTTGAGCTATAAGTTATAATGTAATCTTTATAAGGTACCTTATTGATTTTTTATATATAGGACAATTCAGATAAGAATGATGTCGTAGAAGAAAAATGAGAATGAAATTTAACTTTAAATTAAATTCGATGGCCTAAATTATTATAAAAGAGAGGCCAATGTGCATAGTTTTCGGATAATTTCATTAAAAATTATGGCAGCCGTGCAACTCCATGTTAAATAGTAAGGAGCATTATAGTCATATGCACCTAATAATAGTCACACATGCGGCACCACAATAGGAAAAACATCCTAGAAATTCGGATAGTAGTTAACAAGCAATAAAAAAGATGACACCCCATCCTTGAGAGCCCCTAACATCAGCCGAAAAGTTAATTGAGTGCATGTAAATTGGACTTTAATCACACACATAGTAACATCTCAACGCAGTTGCTCGGATTTGAATAAGAGACTACATCTTATAGTAATTAATAAGCAATAACTACCTTTATTCCTACTAAGTGCTTCCTTTTATTTAATTTTCTTTCCGGAATCAATACTCTCACATATTATTCGGATAGATAATTTAATACAAAAATCATTATTCGAAATATGCATTTTTTCATGTTAACTCGTGTTCTCTTATACAATTTTTCTTTCACCTAATTTTGTATATTTACACTTCAACATTGAATAAACCCACTTTTAGTCAAAATATAATGTAACGTAAATTTAGTAAATATTTTGATATTATTTTCAATCTCAAGAGAAATGAGATGTTTATTGAGTTAATTTAATTTGTGTCATTACAAACTGCACTTTTATGATTCTGGTTTGAACTTTCTATAACATTCATTATCTACACTTTACACATGCTAGTTATGCACATCCATACACATTTTAAATAAAATTGAATTTAAATATACAAGAGTGTAAATTATCAACTATTACACGCATTTTAGATATAGCAATTGTCCTAAGTAGGACTGAACATAATGAAAGTTCACTAATAGGACTTTGAGTTTTTTATTCCTTAATTAAATAGAACTATATTAGTCCTATGTAGAAACATAATAATTTTCCATACCATCAATACCCTTCATTTAATTAATCTCTAAAATTTCTACGCTTTCCATCTCTCTCTCTCTCTCTCTCTCTCTCTCTCTCTCTCTCTCATGGACCGTCTTTCTCCTTGCGCCTAGAATTCGATCGACTTCTCCCCTGCAACTTCCCTTTGTGCATTGCAGTTGAAGACGCCGTCAACTCTCCCGTCTCATGCCACCGCCGTCGCTACCGACTTTACCACGCGCCTTCAGCGCCCCCCCCCATTCGTTCTCCCTCCGGCCTCCTCCTCCTCCTCCTCTTATTCCTCTATTTTCAGAGATATGACATTGATTTTGTGATTTTCCGCATATTCTTCTATTTTTATGGGATTTAACATTGATTTTGCCAATTTTTGGAATTCTGTTTTTTACTTTTCTTATTTTTGGTTTTTTATTTCTTAGGTTTTTTAAAAGTTCCGATTTTCCAAATGTTTGGATGATGGTTTCAGATTTTGTTAAGTTTATGACAGAAATGTGTACACTGACTACCATATTATGGCAAAAACGATTTTGTATAAATTGATTTTATGTTGTTTTGTCATTAGTTTCGTTTTTTTAATTTTCAATTTTGTTAAACAGTTGAAGTACGTGCTTGTTTCCTTTTTTTTAATTTTTCGATTATTTCATTAGACTTCATGTTTTTGACAAATTTATGACAGTTTTGTGTTAAACTTCCAAGATATATATGCCAATTTTATGGCAGATATGATTTTTTTTCATGACATCTTTTACGATTGCATCGGTTGGTCGGTAGATTACTGACACCACATTCCTGCGGCCCAACATGTACATATAGCGGAAAATTGTGGGCTGATCTGCTTTGTTGGGTTTAGCAGGCCCAATTACATCCAAAGAGCTAAGAGCATCTACAATGCTCTTGGTGCATTGGAGATGAAGTGACATAAATTTGGTTTAGGTCTACTTAGAAAAGTGGGCCCAAAATTTTAAAAAAGAGATGTTCGTTAAACACTCTCCGATGCGGAACATTTAAAGCAAATAAAAAGACAAAAGAAAAAATAGAAAACAAAGAGTAAAGTAAAGGAGATGCTTTCCATGCATAAAGGCCCACATTTTCTCCTTTGGTTTTGTTAGAAGGTGGCACCTTCGATCCATACATGGACCTTGTGCTGGACTGCAGTCCAATTTATTGCATGCCACATCGGCTACATCAGGTCTATTCTATTTTGCATTGGAGTATATACTTTTATTCAATAAATGCATTTGCTGAGGTGGAACTACAACCCACCCCAACATTGGAGATGCCCTAATAAGCTATACAAAAACAAATTTACTAGAAGATGCTTTGATGTAGGACAGAATTGGGCACATGTTGAGGTATTAAACGGGTCTGGTGATGACTGAAGGAGAAGGCCGGGGCCGAGGGCTCTGCCTTCGGTGTGCCAAGGGCACATGCCGAGGGGCAAATGCGAAGAGGTGAATGGTTGCTTGTTGGTCTTTTGGTGGCCCATCGAGCTCTATTTTTGAATTGCATGAGTATGTGGGCCAAGGGGTCTAGGACCATATACTCCATGAACATGAATCTCATACAATTATCTAAATATTTTCTATGTTTACAAATACATAAATACTTTTTAAAATGAGTAATACATTAATTAATATGTTAAAATGCATACAATTTGTAGAAGGGTAAGTACTACTAGTATATAAAAACATGAATACGTCCACACTGGAGAAGTGCATTAATCCATAATAAACCTTAACACAAATGTGGTACGCTATCTTTGCAGTTCATCAAATCATATATAGAATACAGAACACATTTCAATCGGTCAATCGACTTATCTTTGGAGAAAATCAGTAGCTAGAAGGTTACATTGGTGATTTGACACATAATCTCAAGATTTCTTCAATTTTTTTTGATAATCCAGCTGTCGGGGCTTACGCTCCCATAATCCTGATGTCTTTGAACTACTCTCGAAAGCCCCTAGACAGTTAAATCCGGATCTGATCACAGTCAGCCTCGTCAGTACTGGTTCCAAAGGATGAATCTAGCAGGACTTACATCACCTGCTCCTCCCACCACACGAACCCGCTACCTTCATTACCATCCTCTTCCTTCTCAGCCGCTGAGCAACTCCGTGAAGGTAGGAAGAATCATTGGGAGCAAGACCTCCCTCATCTCTTCTAGGTGAGAATTGAACCCAATACCTTCCACAAAGTAGAAACTTGGGGGTGGATGGTCATCCATTGGACTACACCCATCGACCCAAATCTCAAGATTTCTTCAAAAGCATACCGGATGGATGACTTTATCTTGTCCCCATCTATGAAGTCTTTCTCAACAACCATGGTGAGTCTAAGATATCCGTGTAGCTCATCATTGTTACGGTTAAACTCTGCAATCATCATTTAAATTAATTAAAAGTGTCACACCTCGGTCATAGCCTTCTCAACAAACACATATTGGGAGATTTTTTTCCCTTGCATGCCTAACTAGAAATTGGTCATGCCAACATCATTGATTCTAATGTCTTGCCATCAAGTCTTCAATTTTTTCAAAAATATACCCTACAGTTTCACTTCCGCACATTTTACACTTATCTAACAATTAATATCAATTTATTATTAAAATGGAGTCACTTCCTTAAAATTTAATCATTCACATGATATAACAACTAAAATAAATACTTGATGCTAAAAAGTTAACATTATGAATGACTAGATTCATTTTTCGCCAAAATTGAAGTGCGTCTCATTTCAATGACACTCTTTCTGCTCACATATGCCTGTGGAGATTTGATATTTTAGTCTTATCACTTTCAATTGTGTCTGTGGTTATAAGGTATCATAACTAATAAATTCATCCATTTTAAGGACTTTTATCCAAAAAGTACATTTTCTAACGGAAAATATGATGCCGATGACTTCTTTTAAAGTATGTATTTTGCCACAAATTGTACTTTAATTTTCAATGGAAAGTCGTTAAACGAATAAATTTATTAATTACAAGACTAAATTTGTAGGTGAGAAGGGTTGTACAAGGACTAAAAGTTGGCACACATGTATATCTTTCTATGATATAAATGTTGTGGCTTGCTGTTGTGGCTTGCTGGTAGCCCTATTTGTCACTCATATATAATGCTTCAGGTTCCCAACATCGTTTGTAAATTTCTCTACTCCCTCCGTCTCAATAAAAATTTCGGTTTTGACCGGGCACACATATTAAAATAGTAAGAATTGTTGGAATTTATTGAGAAATATGACTCAAGTGTTCAATTTGAACCTTATTAATATTATTTTAATTCGGTGTTGTGGAGTTCTAATTAAAATAATATTAAAGGATAATTACAAATATTATTATTCGTTAGATATGTATTTTACTTTTTGTTATTATTAAGTAAATCGTATCTTAAATAATAATAATTGTAATGGTCACGATGGTTGAATGATCATGTTTGTTATTATCCAAGATTTTATTTTTAAAATGCATCTCAATGATGACTTACGTACATAACAAAAATAATCAAAAAGTATTTTTTTTTTAAAATGAGAAAGCCATGAAGTTTCTAACCATCACAACATTTGAAAAGGTTGCCAACCTTTATCCGAATGTATCCAATCAGACATTGTGATCGTCTATAAATGGAATTGAACACGGTTGATTTTGAGTATTCGATTTTCCAACTTCAAAATTTTATCATCTTGCCTCACTATTTTATTACTGTACAGTTGTGTGACGGAGAGTTGTGCAGAGGAGAGAGAAATATGTAAGAATGGTTGTGAATCACAAATTCTTTACAAAAAAGGAAAAAGAAGATAAATTTGAGACGGACGGAAAAAGAAAGTATGAAGATAATTCTGAGACGTATTCGGGGGTACATAGCTTTAATCTGGGGTGTGATCCACTTGGATGACTCACACTCTTTTATTCGGATTTTCATGCCAAATAAATAAATATATTATAAAACTATTTTATTTATTATCACAAAAATGACATATGTATCACCTCATATTTTGGGAAGGCAAAAATACAATTATTTTTTTCTTAAAAATGCGACTTCCGTTCAAAGGTGTAAATTAAACCAAATTTCTTCACCCTCCAACTTCAATCCAACACACCTCCAATTAACACTGTCTAAGACCGCTCTATTGAAAACATTCTATTTTATTTAAATTCGTTGGAAGTGACACCGACAGTGATATACTAAATTATAGTGACATAAAAATTATTGCGACATAATAAATTGGAACCAAAATGCATAGTTTTCAACATTTTTTCTTTTGAATCACTTTTTGTCCATAGAGTTTAATTTATACTCCCTCCGTATCTATTTACTTGTCACATTTTCCTTTTTTGGTGTATCAAATTAATTGTCTTCTTTTCCTTTTTTTGGAAAGAATCTCACTCAAAAAGCAGCTACAGTACCACTACAGTACCGCTACAGTACAAAAAATCTCTTACTTTTTATAAAGTATACCGTAATTGTCTTAAACTCCATGAAAAACAAACGGATCATCTAATTAGATACGGAGGGAGTACCATTTTTTATCTCCGGACTACTATGTCAGTGACACTTTTGTCACTCAACTTGTGTTGCTTTCAGTTTTTCTCCTTTGACTATTGCGTCAAAATCATTCTTGGTACCAATCTTTGAATTTTTTCACATTTAATCCTTCAACTTTCATAAAAATGAAGCTTTTGATCCTTCAAATATTATCATAGTGACGTTTTAAATCCTTCATTAGCGTGCAAAAATCATAGTGAAAGAATTAAGAGCATCGATGTGACAATACTCAAGGGACAAAAAGTTTCTCACATAAACGTTGAGAATACAAAATGTCACCGGCAGAAGAATAGTGTCACACGGGACAGGAAGTCGCAAAAACTCGCATAAAATTGATCTTTAATAAAGTAGCACTTTTAAATTTAGTCAAATAAATGCCAAGTGTTAGTGTTGACGGTTCTATCTATCACTTTCAATTCATTTGCTGGTGGCCTAGAAAATCAATATGGTTCATATCATGTTTATAACCTTAGAAGTAGTAGAGCCTAGCTTAGCTTTAAGAACATCATATTCACTTAAAGTATAAAGTACTATATTCACTCTTCATTCTCATTGCAACTTCAATTCGTCAATTTTGAACCACATGTAAAATATGGAATATTAATATAGCAAGAGTGTGTGGTTAAGTTTGTGCAAAGGAAATAGAAATAAGTTAATTAAGATTAAAAAATTATAAGTTAATTAAGATTTAAAGTGATAAAGTGTTGGAATAAATAAAAATCGGAATGTATCGGGAGTAGTGCAATATATACCTCGGGGCCTCTGAATCTACGTAAGAACTCCAGGAGTTGACCGTTGAGATGAACTGAATTCCTTTGTCTGTTGACCATGTGGTGAGCTCTGAAGACAAAGCCGAGCGGATCAGACGTCTCACCGGTGAAAACGAGCTTCGTAATTGCGAACGCCAAGAAAGTGAACCTATTCCCCCATGGCATTTTTGCGTGTGGTTTGGTCATCTCATCTACAGATGTGTAGCCTTTAATTGCTCTTGTGTTAAATAATACTAATGAAGTGCATTCATCGTTGCATGATTCTTCATCTGTTACTTGCATGTATAATCTTAATCCATATGTCACTATTCCCGTCATTACATCATTTATTATCTGGGTAAAAATTGCACTAAATGCATTATTAGGTTGTATTGTAAATTGTACGAGTAATAAAATAATACGGAGTAATAAACATAATAATTAGCAATACTCTGTATCCCAAATAATCATGTTCTAATAATGTGTTTTTGTTGGATCAAATAAACCTTTTTATAGGTCCCCCAAAAATGACGAGCAAACTACGTAACGTATTTTAGTTAAACTAACTAACAATCTTTTCAAAAAAGACTAACTAATAATCTTTTTAGAATGATATCTAATCTAATTAAGATTAACTATAGAAATAATTACTATCCTCCGTTTCATAAAAGTTGCAACAGTTTGACTTTCACGTTTGCCAACACGCAACTTTGACTGTAATTATATTTATTTACGTATTAGTAAACATTAAAAAAAGTTAATATATTGGAAATTTACACTAATACAAATTTATTAATATTTTAGACATAATATTTTTATTATATATATTATTTGAAAATCGTAGTTAAAGTAAGGTGTGTGAATAGTGCAGAAATTCCAATGTTGCAACTTTTATGGAACGGAGGAAGTATATTTTACTCCGTATAACTCTACATCTAACTCAAACTTGATGAAAAAAAAGATGACACTTCATCCCTGAGCCCCATAGAATCGAGCGGACAATTAATTGTCAAGGATGATGTGAATTGAAATTTGATCTCACTCTGTTGGAAAGATAGTGAAGTTTCGTCCAAAGACATTGCTTGGAGTTGAACCCGACCTCGACCTCTCCCTTGTAGCACCCCTTTCCCAGGTGAGCTACGCCCCCGACAGCTCAAACTTGATGAAGTTTTATTTATGAAATGGATGAAGTGTATATTTACGTGATAAAAAAGGATGACACATCAACCATGATAGCCCCCAAAACTGACTGGAATTTTACGTGATCAAAAGTATATTAGAGTAAAAGAAAGAGAATATGTTCAATTTTTCCACTTACCACATTAAGGTCCCGTTTACTTACGACTTAATGAGCTTAATGGAAACCAGGACTTATTCGCTCAGCTATATCATTGTGTTTATTTGTGTCTTGATTGATATAGTGACTTATTCGGTCAAACTATATCTGACTTTATGAATCAGCCCAATTTTAATACTCCTCCCGGTTCAGACAAATCCAGACGCCTTTTAGAACATTGGTTGTGATTGAGTAAAAAAAATTAAATGAATGTTAGCCACACAATACTTTCCAAAACGAGAAATGCGAAAATTAATTTGATGCAATATTTTTCAATAATTTATTTAATTGCCTTCTCAATAGAAATTTAATGTGAAATTTTATACACACAATCTACACTTTATCAATTATTGAAGAACTTGCTCACAAACGTTCATAAAAAAATTTCACCGAGAACCACCTCAGAATGCGCGGTCCGACGGAGGATCCTGTGCCTCCGATTAGATATGATCATTCCTCATCTATGTACTACCATACGTAAGAGGATACTACTCACATATTTTTTGCAGTCTACATTAATGGTATTGTAATAATCTCGATTTTAGAGAACTATGATCTTATAAATTGTAAAAAAGGTCAAATATTGATATGGAAAGCTATGATTAATTAACAGCGGCGGAACTAGAAGGCCAAGAAACAACGAGTTAGGGAGATCAAAACTTAAAACTTAACTACATTTTTCACTGCTTATAAATATTGAAAGCAACTGCGCTGCATATATATATATAAAGCACAACATTTTATAAACAATTTATTTAACTGTCTTCGATCCTGATTGAATTTTTATATGAAATTTGGTGTAGTTAAAATAGACTTGATAAAAAACATACTCAAAAAATTCAACCACAAAGGCTCCCAAATTCCCTCGGCCGGACGGGGAGTCCGGTCAGACCGACCTTCTTCTCCATCTAAGTATTCCATCGCATATAAGCTAAGCTTTTTAAATTCCTTTGATCGATATTCTTTTAGTTTGCATGTACGTAAATCATTTATAGGCATGGACAGCCTCGAGTTGGTATGGTTGTTTACCAATGTTTCACTATAAATTACTCCGACTACGACTAAAACTATGCCAAAAACTCAAAGTAAGACTTACTATATTTTTCTTTTCAAAATAGGACCATATTAGTACTATTGAAAACATACCTATTTTTTTATTCCATTCTTACCTTTCCTTTAAATATGAGTTGATTAAATGTTTAATTCATAATAAATACGAAAAAAATTCAAAAAATCGTAGAAAAATAAGTAAATGTTGTTTTTTAAACTTGTTATTTTATTATTTACGTAAAATAGTAAGTGCATGTGATATTGCTTACGTAGATAAATAATAGTATGAGTCAGTTTTTAGTCTAGCTATTGTTATGGAGAATAACTACCTACAGACATGGTCATATACGGATGTAGTGCTGCGAATAAGTCATGGGTTAGTTGCAAATTTGTAGCAACAACTCACACGTTCTTTTGCTATTAATATGAGAATAAACTGGTGATGTAGCCTAAGAGCTTCACACCAATGAAAAAAACTTTGTGTATGTTCTAGTTATTCAGCTTTACACTTATTCTTTCATTGAGTGCCAGTCATTGAGAGAGGATAAATTCTTTGTGAGTGTGAAAGAGACAACAATTGGTATCAGAGCTAGGTTCTAGCAAATCTCACACTCAAAATGACTGGAACATCAGGCTCCTCAAGCAGTCCGGGAGAAGGAGATAGTTCAGTTACACTCAAATACCCCATGTTGACAAGAAGTAATTATGCTGCCTGGGCTATCAAAATGGAGGTGTTTATGGTAGCTCAGGGAGTATGGGATGCTGTGGAAGCAGAAGGCACGGTTGACAACAGGAAAGACAAAATGGCTTTGGCCGCCATCTATCAGGGGATAGGGGAAGACACCCTGGTGCAACTTGGAGCCAAAAGAACAGCAAAAGAAGCCTGGAACATGTTGAAAAACATGCATCTAGGGGCGGATAAAGTGAAAGAAGTCAAGACACAAACTCTATGGCGTGAGTTTGAAGGCTTGAGAATGAAGGACTCTGAAAATATAGACGAGTTTTCAGGGAAACTGACCATAATTGTCACCAAATTGAGGGGCTTGGGAAACACAGTTAAAGAAGAACAGGTGGTGAAGAAACTGCTCAGATCCACGTCCACTAAATTCTTACAAATTGCCTCTACCATTGAGGAATTTGGGGATCTTGAAAACAAGACGGTAGATCAGATCATTGGATCCTTAAAGGCCCATGAGGAGAGGCTGCAAGACGTTGGATCCAAAGATGAATCAATACTATTGACAAAAGCAGAATGGAGGGAACTGCAAGATGCTGAAGGAAGGGAGGATACTGCACTGCTCACAAGAGCAGAATGGAAGGCCAAAGAGGTAGAAAAATTCAACAAAAACCCCATTAGAAATCAAGGAAGTTCTAGGGGGGAAGAGGACGTGGACGTGGACGAGGAAGAATGGATAATTCACATCTCAGTGAGGATGGAGTTTCACACTTCCAGAAAAAGAAGTTTGACAAAAGCAAAATAAAGTGTTATGCATGTGGAGAGATGGGACACTTTGCAAGTGAATGTCAAAATGAAAAGGTACATCTCACTGAGAAACAAGAGGAGGAAGAGGAAACATCCCTACTGATGATGGAGACTTGTGAACTAATAAGTTCATACAAAGAAGTGGAAGATGTAGCCATGCTACACAAAGAAGACAGTAGAACAACTAAAACTTGGTACCTTGACACAGGTGCAAGCAATCATATGACTGGAGATATGAGTTGCTTCACAGAACTGGACAAGTCCATCAAAGGGAAGGTAAGGTTTGGGGATGGTTCAGTAGTAGAAATTTGTGGTCAAGGGTCCATGCTACTGGAGTGCAAAAATCAGGAACACTTGGCCTTGACAGGAGTCTACTATATTCCAAAACTCAAAAGTAACATTTTGAGTATTGGACAGTTGGATGAGATAGGCAATCAGACTGTCATAGAAGGAGGCTTTCTAAAGCTCTATGACAAAGGGAGGCTGATGTTCAAAGTAAAAAGGCAAACAAATAGATTGTATGTCATCAATCTTCATCATACAGAGAAGGTGTGTCTCATGATGAATATTGGAAGAGAGGAATGGTTATGGCATGCCAGGCTTGGGCATCTGAACTTCCATTCCATGCAAAGAATGTATGCACAAAACCTGGTGGAGGGAATGCCCAAAATAGGCCTTGTAAACCAGGTATGTGATGGGTGTGTCAAGGGCAAGCAACACAGATGTCCTTTTCCAAAGAACTCAACATTTCGGGCAAGCTACAAACTGGAACTGATTCATGTTGATATCTGTGGTCCCATTGTGCCAACAACCTGTGGAGGAAACAAGTATTTCTTGCTACTTGTTGATGACTATTCACGTTATATATGGGTTTACATAATGAAAACTAAAGATGAAGCCTTGAAACTGTTCAAACAATTCAAAGTGAATGTAGAAGTGGAAACTGGGGAAAGAGTTAAAGGCTTAAGAAGTGACAGAGGAGGAGAGTTCACTTCTTCAGCCTTTAAGGAGTTTTGTGAGAATCAAGGTGTGAAAAGATTCTATACTGCACCATATTCTCCCCAACAAAATGGAGTGGTGGAAAGAAGGAATCAATCAATAGTTGAGATGGCAAGGTGCATGTTAAAAAGCAAGCATGTACCACCAACTTTCTGGGGGGAAGCTGTGAGGACTGCAGTATACATTGCAAACAGAGTTCACACGAGGAGTGTAGATGGAAAAACTCCATATCAAGCCTGGTTTAACAAAGTTCCAAAGATCCATCATTTGAGAGTATTTGGAAGTGTGGCTCATGCAAAGGATGTAAGACCTCACCTTTCAAAGCTAGCAGACAGGAGTGTTCACACTATATTACTTGGGTATGAAGAAGGTTCAAAAGCCTATAGGTTATTTGAACCAAGACAGAAGAGGGTAATTGTAAGTCGAGATGTGATATTTGAGGAAGGAAAGAGCTGGAACTGGGAGACCACAGAAGATCCAGACACAGAAGGAGGTGAAAGTTTCATTGTGACATCCAATTCTGAAGCACAAGAAAGAGACAATACAAGGGCAGATTCAGAATCATGGGTAAATTCATCATCATCATCTCCAACCTCATCAAACTCAAACTTAAATTCTAGTTCAAGTTCAGAATCAGAAAGTCCAAAGAAGTTTAGATCTCTACAAGAGATCTATGATGCTACGAGAGAGACTGAAGAAGAAACAGGTTTGTGCTTCTTAGCATTGGGAGAACCAATTACATACAAAGATGCCTCCAAACAGGTACAATGGAAGCAAGCTATGGAGCAAGAGATAAACTCTATTAGGGAAAATAACACCCTGGAGCTCACAACTCTGCCTAGTACTCACAAAGCTATAGGTCTCAAGTGGATTTACAAAGTAAAGAAGGATTCAAATGGAGAGGTGATCAAACACAAAGCCAGGCTCGTAGCAAAAGGCTATGTTCAGAAACATGGAGTAGACTATACTGAAGTCTTTGCACCTGTGGCTAGAATGGAGACAGTCAGGATGCTATTGGCCTATGCTGCACAAAGAAAGTGAGAGGTGCATCATATGGATGTAAAAACAGCATTCCTGAATGGAGAATTGGATGAAGAGGTATACGTAACTCAACCAGAAGGATTCATTGATGAAAAAAACCCACACAAAGTACTAAAATTAAAAAAGGCTTTGTATGGGTTAAAGCAGGCACCTAGGGCCTGGAATTTAAAGCTAGACCAAAGCTTAAAAGTCATTGGCCTAAGAAAATGCCCTCATGAGCATGCTGTGTATAAGAAGGAAACACAAGGTAATACTTTGATTGTTGGAGTATATGTGGATGACCTTATACTGACAGGTTCAAGCATGACTATCATTCAAGGTTTCAAAGAAGAGATGAAAACGACCTTTGACATGAGTGATCTGGGACTGTTGAGCTACTATCTAGGTGTTGAAGTGAAGCAGAAAGAAGATGAAATATCTCTGTGTCAGTCTGCATATGCAAAGAAAATACTGGACAATTTTGGCATGAGAGACTGCAACCCTTGTCAATTACCAATGGAACCAAGAACCAAAATGAGCAAGCATGGAAATGGGGAAGAGTTTGTTGATGAAACCATGTACAGGAGCATGATTGGAAGCCTAAGATACCTTGTGCATACAAGGCCGGATCTTACCTACTCAGTAGGAGTTATGAGCAGATACATGGAGGCACCTACAACGCTACATCTAACAGCAGTTAAGCAAATTATGAGGTATGTAAAAGGGACATTACATATGGGGTGTATTTACAGGAAAGGGGGTAGCAATGAAGAACTTTTGGGCTATTGTGATAGTGATCTAGCTGGAGACATAGATGACAGGAAGAGCACAAGTGGTGTTGTGTATTTCTTGGGAAACAAACCAATTACATGGACATCACAAAAACAAAAGGTTGTAGCGTTGTCATCCTGTGAAGCAGAGTACATTGCAGCCACAACAGGAGCTTGTCAGGGCATATGGCTTGCAAATATGCTGAAAAACTGGAGGGGAGACTCAAGGATACAAGCTACCCTACGCATAGATAACAAGTCTGCTATTGCCTTAGCCAAGAACCCCTTTTATCACGATAGAAGCAAGCACATTGACACCAGATTTCATTTCATTCGTGAGTGTGTGAAAGAAGGAAATATCAATGTGGAATATGTCACAACAGAGGAGCAGTTAGCAGACCTAATGACCAAACCACTGCCAAAGCTGAAATTTGAAGAATTGCGTAGGAAAATTGGAGTGACCAAGGTAAAGTAAAGAGCACAAGTTTAAGGGGAAGAATGTTGTTTTTTAAACTTGTTATTTTATTATTTACGTAAAATAGTAAGTGCATGTGATATTGCTTACGTAGATAAATAATAGTATGAGTCAGTTTTTAGTCTAGCTATTGTTATGGAGAATAACTAGCTACAGACGTGGTCATATACGGATGTAGTGCTGCGAATAAGTCATGGGTTAGTTGCAAATTTGTAGCAACAACTCACACGTTCTTTTGCTATTAATATGAGAATAAACTGGTGATGTAGCCTAAGAGCTTCACACCAATGAAAAAAACTCTGTGTATGTTCTAGTTATTCAGCTTTACACTTATTCTTTCATTCAGTGCCATTCATTGAGAGAGGATAAATTCTTTGTGAGTGTGAAAGAGACAACAGTAAAAAATTTATAAAATATTTATAAAATAAAACATTAAATTTTTATTTTTTTTTCAATTTTTTATTTTTTTGGAAAATTAATAAAAAATAGTAAAACTCCATTAAAAAACTAAAAAAATATGGATGCCTTTCCCACCGCGTTTACTACCTCCCTGCACCACCATCTCCGGCCGGTGAGAAAAATGCAATTTTTCCTAAAAACTACTATTTTTTCTGAAAATGCCAAAAACATGGCATATTTCTCTTTGAGAATGCCAACATTTTCATTGTTTTCTGCCATAAATATGACATTCGTAATGAACTTGGCATTTTTTTCCTCTGGTGACTGGAGGTGGTGGTGCAGAGGCGGCGGTGATTTTTTTTTTGAGTTTTTTATTTTTTTTTTAAATTTTATTTTTTATTTTTTGAAAATAAATAAATAAATAAATTATTATTATAGACATATTTTTATTAATTTTTTAGTATTTTTTACGAATTTATTATTATTTTTTATTATTTTATTATGAAAAAAAACATTTCAATAGCTATAAGGGTATATTTGTTCCAAACACACATTATTAGTCCTATGAAAACATAGTTTATTTTTTGGTCCTATTCGTGCAAAGTGAGTGACTTTTAGTCGTCCTATTTTGATAATTAACCCATGTTTCACAGATAGGATGATATAGAGATTTAATTTTAGGGAAATATCAAACTTGCATATGTAATACATATATCTCGAATTTTATCAAAAAGTTAGTTTTACACAAAAATTGTATGTTTTTTTACAAATCCAAATTTGTTGGAATAATTACATCATTTAAAATACTCGAATCTTTGTTAGAATTGCAATTAACATTCTAAAATTTCATTTGTGAATTAAATAATATTACATCCATTAAAATTTAATTTTAATTGCATCCTCATAAATGTTTTATGTATTTTATATTATGTGCTTAACACCATAAAATTATATTTAGGAAAATATATATACTAATGATGCTAATATAAATGATATATATATATATATTTAAATATATATATATATATATACATAATATATATATATATATATATATATATATATATATATATATATATATATATATATATATATATATTTTGAGATATTTATCTCACACCCATTGAGAGTTAGGGATATTTAAATTATTTTCCTCTGAATTTTAAGATGGATATATAGGAAATACAAAGTTTTGTTTTACCCATGTACAACTGTTATGGAACACGAATAATATTATCAATGGATACAGTAATACAGTTTTATATTACATTAGAATTGGCCACATGTCATTTTCATAGCAAATGACCAAAATGTGGAGAGATGGACACATACGATTCATTAAAAACATAATTGTCTTTTAATGAGATATATATTTTCTTATATATAAATAGATTAAGTACAATGTAATAGACATATAAGGAGAACATATACTTATTATTAATTTTTTGAAAGGGGACCTATTATTAAATGGAGCATTTATATAGGTATTATTAATTTTAGAGCCCTTTTGGTAACCTTGTTTATTAGGCTTATCAGTCAATTTTTTCACAAAACATGTAACTTTTAATGTCGCCCGCTGAATTGTGTAATAACAAGAAAAGTAAGTTTAGAGTTACTTTGTCGGTTGTATTAGACAACCAACCTAAACAGACCATACACGAAAATACTCATCGAATGACATCTACCAAACTAGATTAGACAAGGCATGTTTAAAATAAATCAGACCAAACCTAAACAGACCAGACATGAAAAATTCATTGCTTATGTTATCGCCCACTATCATCAATAACTGGGCACACACACTACTACCTATAGCAACCATTAGCGATTATCAAAATGTTTTTGTGCTTATAAATACACTGAATACTTATTAAAAATGAGTAATACATTAATATGTAAAATGCATACAAATGTGCATGGCTAAGTACTACAGAGTATCTAAAATACATGAATACTGACTCTACAGTGAAGAAGTACATTAATCTATCAAGCTATGATAAGCTATAGCACAAATGTAATACACTACCTATGCATTTCATCAAACCATACACAATAGATAGTATATATTAAGTTTTAGCTAGTCCATCGAATTGTCTTTAAAGAACATGAATAGCTAAAAGGTTGGTCATGTTTTGACACTGAGTTTGAAGATTTCATCAAAAGCATACTCAATGGATGACTTTATCTTCTCCCTATCTATGAAATCTTTCTCAGCGACAATGGCGAGTCTAAGATTTCCCATGTAGCTCACCATTGTTACTGATAAACTCTGCAATCAATTAAATGAATTAATATTAGTCACATATCAAGCTAGCTATGATAAGCCATAACACAAATGTAATACAAGACCATTGCATTTCATCAAATCATATTGGGAGATTTTACCTTGCATATATGCATAACTTGAAATCGGTCATGCAAACATCAATTGTCGTCATTAGATCACTTTAGTGTTCAAACTTCTTTCTCATTAGTATAATATACATATTTTAGTAGTGAAGTCTTCAATTTTTGTTGGAGATATACACTACTATTTCTCTTTCACATATTTTAGACTTATCTAGCAATTAAGATTAATTCATTATTAAAGATGGAGTCACTTCCATAAAGTTTAACCCTTCACATGATATAACATCTATGATGAATACTTGGTACTAAGAAGTTGACATTATACATGCACACATACATGCATGCATCCATACATACATGCAATCATCCATCCATCTATACATACATACATACATACATACATACATACATACGTACGTACGTAGGTACACATATACATACATACATACATACATGCATGCATGCATACATGCATACACACACACACATACACACACACACACACATATACATACATACATACATACATACATACATACATACATGCATGCATGCATACATACATACATACGTACATACATACATACATACGTACATACATACATACATACATACATACATACATACATACATACATACATACATACAAACATACATACATACATACATACATACATACATACATACATCCGTACATGCATACATGCATACATGCATACATGCTTACATGCATACATGCATACATGCATACATGCATACATGCATACATGCATACATGCATACATGCATACATGCATACATGCATACATACATACATACATACATACATACATACATACATACATACACACACACACACACACATACATACACACACACATAATATGCATTGGATAGTACCAAAATCTAATAAACTTCACATGTTCTTTTTTGTTGCAAGATTGTAAATATTGTTGTATTATACGCAGTATTTTTAATGTGCAGTACTTTGACTACTTTTATTCATGTATACCATTCTACTAACTAATGTTTAAAGAGTTTATTCAAATGTATATTGGTCAGAACATATTACTTTTTCACTATTTACATATTTTACCTTGACTATATTTTACATAATATTTGTTAATGTATGACCAAATCACAGTATGAAAGAATATAAATTTCTATTGACTTTAAACTTTCAAAATATATATATCTAAATTGTTTTAGCTACAACTAATTAATTATGTTCATGATCAAAGTTATGAATTACCAAATGTAAGAGTTAAAGTATTGTAATGAATGGGAAATAAGAACAAAGTAGCCAATATTATATTTATGTACATTTAATTTAATTATATAAAATAAATATATTATTAGTCAAAGAAGTATATTGATAATTGTGATAAATATGTTGATATAATTAAAATGGGGGTTGGTATTTATGAGTAACTTAATTGGTGTTACCACTCCTCCAAAATATGTACTACCTCCGTTCTTAAATAAATGCAACACTTTGACTTTTACACTATTCACATGTTCTACTTTGACTACGTTTTATTTATTAATGTAATAATATTATTTTATGAAAAAATATTGTTAAACCTGTCTCATTGTAAATTTTCATAATCTAATTTTTTTACTTTTTTTACTAATACAAAATTATTTATATTAATGGTCAAAGTTGTGTCTCGGCAAGTGTGAAATGTTGACCGTTGCATTTATTTAAGAACGGAGGAAGTATATGCCATGTAGATACCTGTGGAGAGCCTGCTACAAAAAAATACATGTCTTTGACGGGATGATTAATTACAGTTGTTTCTTCCACCGGACCTATCATGTTTGACATTGTAATGCTTGTGTTCCTCAACATTCCATGTATATATCCTGCTGTTACCTGCAATACTTTCGATTTAGTATAGAAAAAAATTGCTCCTCAAATCTATATTTCAGAAAGTCTAGTAATTTTAACATTATTTAAAATTGGATTATTCAATTACAAAAAACATGCAAGAGATTTCATCAATCAATTACTTTTAAGTTTAATTCAAGTGGTGATAGATTTTGTAGTGGTAGCAGGGTGGTGGCCCCATTTGTCAAGGGAAAGGGTTCAAGTTCTCAACATTGTTTGTACACTTTCGGACATCCACTAATCAATGGGCAGCTTTCGCAATAGTTATCCCTGATTTGTCAACAAAATTTTGATTCCTAGCAAGATACAAACACGCGCACAGTTGGTTTTGGAGAAACATAACATTGATTAAGCAACCACTCAAGCGCTAGTCCTGATTGCTAAAAGATGGTCATTAGAGGAAAACTTTCAAATTCAGCTCGTTATTGATTTGAACTCAAGATCCCCCACAAGGAACATAAGTTTAATATAATGGATCCAATATTGTGGGTTGTGATCCAACATAAGTTTCAAACTCTCTTTTTGGGTGTTTCATGTGTAATGGATAAGTACTTTTGGAAACTATTTTTTTCATTATAAAAAACGATAACATATACGTAGTATATCACAACTATATTTTGGGAAGGAAAAAATGTCATTACATTTATTCTAAAAAATGTGACTCACCTTCAAAGGTGTAACTGAAAAAAAAATTCTTCACCCTCCAACCTATATCCAACACACCCCAATTAACGCTTCCGAAAACCATTACCTTGCAAAACATTTCCCTTTTTTTAAATTCGTCAAAAGAGCCACCGGAGAAAGTCACCAGCCATGTTTGACGGTGGAAGTGACACTGATAGTGATATAGTAAATTGCAATGACATAAAAATTGTTTGTGACATAATAAATTGGTAGCGACAAGCATAGTTTTTAACATTATTTACCTTGTGGGTCACTTTTTTCTTATCTATAGAGTTTTTATCACTTTTAATCCTTCAACTATTATGTCAGTTGCACTTTTAGCACTCGATTTTGAACTTTTCCACTATTAGTCCTTCAGTTATTGCGTGAAAGACAATTTTGACATCTGTCTTTGAAATTTTCTATATTTACTCCTTTGACTTTCATAAAATTGACACTTTTGATACTTCAACGATTATATAGTGATTTTCTAGTTGTCCATTTATTGTGCCAAAATCAAAGGGAAAGGTCTAAAAGTGTTGATTTGATAATACTCATGGGACTAAATGTAGGGAATTTTGTAGTCGATGACTAAAAGTATCTCACACAATAGTTGAGGGAGAATAAATAGAAAAGTAAAAGTCGAGTATAAAAAGTGCCAGTGATAGAATATAATCAAATACTAGAAGTGGAAAAACTTCTTTAAAATTGATCTTATATACTCCATCCGTCCCACAAAATTCTTCTTGATTTGACCTAGATGGAGTTTAAGAAAGTAGGAATAAAGTGAAATGTATGATTGTGGTTGAGTAGGAAAAAAGTAAATGAATGGTGGCCAGACAACCAAAAAGGGAAATGAGAAGCATTTTTTGTGACACCTCAAAAAGGAAATGAGAAGAATTTTAAGGGACGGATGGAGCAACTAACTAAGCATCAACGTAATGTCTTTTCATTTTGTCACCAAATCTCTCTGATCTCCTCCCCTATTTGAATGTCTGTGGGTTGCACCTTCCACAATCACCGCCATACTATGTCGTGTCACTGATGGATGGTGAATGATTTTCTCTCTCGTGGCTTGTCAAATTGAGGATGCTATGCATGTTCGTTCGATAAGAGCTACAGATGCGTCCTTCTTTCAAGGTTGTCCTTTGTGGTGGCAAAACCAGGTATAATGAGAAGGTCGAGTGATTTATGGGTCTAGTTGCAATGTTGTTGAAGCGGTAGGCTCTCTTTATGATGGCTAATGAAGTTAGGCATGCATGTTAGTGGTTGATGTGGGTTATTGGTCAAATAAATGGTGTATGGTTAATATTTAATCTATCACTTTCCTTTGCCGGTACTCTGGAAAGTCAATATGATTCCTATCACGCTTATAATCTTAGAAGTAATAGAGCCCTCAAAAACACAATGTTGGTAATCTAGATTTTGATATGGGGTGGATCATTTCCCAAGACAACTTAAAATATAAATGTAAACATTATACACTATTATATTCCCTCTCCATTCTCACTTTAACATTGACAGGTTTGAACCACATGTGAAATATGAAATAATAATAAAGTAAAACTTTGTGGTTAAGTTAGCGTAGAGAAGATAGAAATTATAAGAAATCACAAATTAATTAAGATGTAAAGTGATAGAGTTTTTGGAATAAATAAAAATCGGAAAGTGTGAGGAGTAGTGTAATATATACCTCAGGGCCTCTGAATTTCCTTAAGAATTCCAACAGATGACCATTGAGATAAACTAAAGCTGAACTCTTTTGTCTCTTGACCATGTGGTGAGCTCTGAAGACAAACCCAAGGGGATCAGATGGCTCACCGCCGAAAATGAGCTTCGGAATTCCGAATGCCAAGAAAGTGAACCTATTCCCCCACGGCATTTCCGCGTTTGGTTTGATCATCTCATCTACCGACGTGTAGCCTTTGGTTTCTCTTGTGTTAAACAATACTAGCGAAGTGCATCTCCCGTTGCATGTCTCTTTATCTATTTCTTGCATGTATAATCTTATTCCATATGTCACTATTCCCGTCATCACGTCGTTTATTGTCTGTGAAAAAAATTGCATTACCCAATACATTATCATGTTGCATTGTAATAAATAAACTAATAACAATCATAATAATTACAAATACTCATGTTCCGATGAAGTTTTTTTGTTTCATAAATTCTTTTTTTGTAGGTCGCCAATAAAATGACAAACAAACTACATAAAGTATTTAGGTAAACTAACCAACTAATAATCATTTTAGTTAGATATGAAGTTAAGATTAACCATACAAATAATCATATGTTAATGACTAAATAAAGGTTGTTCACAAAATTTTTATTTCTCAAGTGTAATGGTAGTACTTAATTTTGTCATAGTAAATTATGTTCAATGTTTTAACTTAAGTGATCATGTAAATCAATAAAGTAAAACTTGATTAATAAAACTTTATCAAATTTAACTTGCATGTAGAGTAATAAAATAAAACTTGTGTGGTTGAAATTTATGCTGAAAAGACAGAAACTACTTCAATCACATACTATGTATTTATTACTTTTAAAAAATAAAATTATTTTTTTTTTGAAACTTTCTAAAAATGAAAATTTGACAATTTGTTTGCCCTTACCACATTAAGACTGGATTTAATTTGCGTCAGGAGGTGCAATGAAAATGACATAGTAGTCAGAGAGATGGGCCGGAACTCAACTCCGTCATCTTGTGAATGAATCGCCGTCCGGTCATCATCAACCAAACAACTCTTAAGAACACTCCAAGAAAAATCCAAAACCGTGTGGGCAATCCCATACATGAATCTGGGCACAGTTTTTATGATGCCGCTGATAAAGTTTTCTCTTTCCATTTTGCTCCTTTTCCGGTGAGGAAACGTGAGGGGAAGCTTCGAATTGCCTGCCCTTTGGAGGCAAGAAAGAAGAGCGCCCATCAAAGAATACCCATCTCCGAGCGAATGATGCAACTTAAAGATGCAATTCCCGGCGGCGATGCTGGTAGGATACCTAATTATGTGAATTTCCCAAAGTGGCCTGCTCTGTGGGAATGGTTGTAGGGCTATATTTGTCAAATACTCTGACAGGCACTCATCATAGTACTCCAAAGGTTTTCCGATAGGATATGTGGGGAATTTTAGATGGTCTACCAGATTTACTTCCACAAATTTCCATTTCTTTTCGCCATTTTCTTCATTTACCTGGTTTCATTAAAAAAAGGTTAACTAAAGTATTCATAAACCAATAAAGCATCATATCGGGGTTCTAAGTAGAGGGAGTACAATTTTTTTTTATGTGGTTCTCACCTATTTTTACACACAACAAATTGATCGAGAGGAGATTCGAATCTCCTCTCGATCTTTGAGAAGATCAAGTGATGTCATGTAACTATAAAATAATAATACTAATTGTGTTGTTATAGACATATTCACTAAGAGTTGAGTATTATAATATCCATTGCATGTTATAGTTATTGAAAATGAGATTTTTCTAATTTTCTTTAAGTCATTAATAGTAATATTCTTAAATATTAATAGTAAGCGTAATTCTATGAAAAGATTATTCAATGATATTTTAATGAGTAAATATGACACAATTATTAATGTGTATTAATAATTATAACATTCACTATCTAGAGCATCAAACTAGTTACTCCCTTCGTCCTATAAATTTTTCTCAATTAGCTTTTTGAGATGTACCAATTCTTTTTCTCATTTCTTTGTTTAGAAAGTTCTGTGCGGCTAATATTCATTTACCTTTTTTACTCAACCACAACCGTATATTTCCACTTTATTCTCACATTTTTAAACTTTGATCCAGACCAAATCGATAGAATTTTATTGAATGGAGGGAGTATTTCAGATCGGAATGAACAAAAGTAGATGATAAAACCATACTGACCAAACTAGATTAGATTATACTATATCATACTACGTATTTATGTAGACTAAATCTAGTGGTGGATGAGCGGAGTGTTGTGGGTAGAATTTTTAAAGCAAAATATTATCCGGATTCTTCCTTCTTGAATGCTCAAATGGAGAATAATCCTTGTTATATTTGGCAGAGTATTATGGAGGCCCAAGCTATTTTGAAAATGCATACCCGCAAGAGAGTGGGTAACGGAAGAGATACTCAGGTCTGGGCGGAGAGATGGCTACCTGGAGAGGGTTCTGGTTGGGTCCAATCTGATCAGCTAAGGGGAGTTCGTGATATGAATGTGGTAGCCCTGAGAGATGAAACTGGAGGAGCTTGGAATGTTAGTAGAGTGCGGGCTATTTTCTCATCGGAGGAGAGCGAGAGAATTTTGAGTATTCCGATATGCCTGTATGACAGGGCAGATAGTGTTTTCTGGGTGGGCGGGGGGGGTGGGGGGTGGGGGGTGGTGGTGGTTTTTTTTCCAGTGAAAAGCTGCTATAAATTGATAACGGAGATGACTATGTCTACTAATTCAATAGGGTGGACCGTGATGTGGTCATTTAAAATTCCCCCCAAATTAAAATGTTTCTTTTGGCAATTGATGGATGGCTCATCCCTACATTTGTTAATCTTAACAGAAGGGGGGTCAATGTAACTTTGATGTGCAAGTTTTGTGATGAGGATGAGGAGCCAGCAGTGCACATTTTCAAAGACTGTGCGGAGGCTAGTGATGTGTGGTGAGAGGTGGGCTAGGGTCAGTATAATCCGACGGATAGTTTTGAGGCATGGATCAAGGCAAATTTGGAGGAGAATGATAAAGCTCGGCACCTTTTAGGGATAAAGCTCGGAAAATTTGGAGTCCTAAAACAAGTTCATGTTAAAGAAGCTGCTAAGCCCGATTAGGGATCAGGCCTAGATAGGAATCCACAGGCCGGGCTGGACAACAGACCTCGAACTTGGGCGGAGTTCTAGTAAGGTTAGGATATTCCTAGGGTTTATGTGGCAGACAATTATTTGAACATAGCTATAGTGGTCTGTTTATTGCAATTTTATGGAGTGTCTGAAAACGGAGGAATAATATTATTTGGAAAGGTGAGAACCAGAGCAGTTTGGCAGTGGTGAGAAGTGCAGACAGTATGATAGGGGCTTGGGAGGCGGCCCAAGGGAAGCAACAGGATGGGGATAGAAGAAGTCCAGTGGGGGCAGCAAAGTTGCAAAAACCTAGAATGGAGGCTATTAAAGTTAATATTGACGCTGCACTAAATGAGGTGGGTGGAATCCGAGCTTGGAGTTGGGTGGCCCGAACGGACCCGAGGTCTTTTATAAAGGCAACGAGTAGCTCTCGGAGTGGGAGTTGGAGCCCAGCTGAGTCGGATGCACTTGGAGTTAGAGATGTAGTAGAAGATGCACTAAAAGAAGGGTGTGTATGTGTGGAGTTCGAGTCATATGTACTACTAGTTGTTAACAGAGAGTGAGAGGATTGCAGAGTGGGTCATATATTGATCTGATGTATGATGATATTTGGAGATTGGTGAAAAATAAGAGTGACTTTAGTCTCTCTTATTGTAGAAGGTCTGCGAACCATGTTGTTCATACACTAGCTAGGCAATGTGTGTTACTACCATACCATTTTAGCTATTTTGAGGATGTTCCAGATAGTGTTGTAAGTCAGTTGGCAAATGATTTATTGGATTAATGATATGATGTTTTTTCTTTCAAAAAAAGTAGATTAAATCTAAGAACAATACTCGATTTAATTGTACTCCATTTAATTTTAAAGACATACAAAAGGTGATTACCGTATGGGTGGTGATATATTCCATCTCTCTCTCTCAAAGAAGTTATTGTATTTGCTTTTGCGGCATTCGAAATATAGTAATATTTCTTTATTTAGTGAAATAAATATTAACAATCTATTGTTTTATATTGTAAAACACAGTTAAAAACCGTTCACATGTCTCTCTCTTATTGGTTAACACAAATTGTATTAATACTACTATTAAAATATTTTTATATAATTAGAACGATTTATGTAATAGAAATTACCCTAAATAGGAGTAAAAACGTTTTGAAATTCTAAAATATGACTTTCATGTTTTTATTCCCTAAATAGGAGTAATTCTTCCAAGTTTGGCAAAAATGTCATGTTTAAAGCCTAGTAATGTCAAACTTGACAGAAATTTACTCCTATTCAAGGAATAAAAAACATGATAATCTTATTTTGGAATTTCAAATTTTTTACTCCTGTTTAGGTAATTCTCTCTTTATGTAATGTAAAACGCAATAAGAGAAAAAATAGGATGAAATGCGTATTCATAACCGGAGAAAAAGTTAGAGAAAAAGTTGTAGAAAAATGTGTATAATATCAACAATATAGGATTCTAAAGTTTAGGCCTTTTTATTCTAATATTACTAAAATGAATGAAAAAGACAAATTTGTGACCTTTTTTAAATTTTTCCAAAAATGTGACTAAAAGTCATATTCCTTGTATTTAATCATACATTATTATTGTAATATTCATTTTATATATTTGATTAGTAGTCCTATGACCGCCGACCGTGGCACCGCCAGCACCACTGCCACTGTCGCCGGCACCACCGCCACTGCCGCCGGCACCACCGCCACTGCCGCCGGCACCACCGCCACTGCCGCCGGCACCACCGCCACTGCCGCCGGCACCACCGCCACTGCCGCCGGCACCACCGCCACTTGGGATCAAGTCCTAAAACAAGTTCATGTTAAAGAAGCTGCTAAGCCCGATTAGTGACCAGGCCTAGATAGGAATCCACAGGCCGGGCTGGACAACAGACCTCGAACTTAGGCGGAGTTCTAGTAAGGTTAGGATATTCCTAGGGTTTATGTGGCAGGCAATTATTTGAACATAGCTATTTGGCAGCAGGCATGACTTAATAGGAAACATGGTCTGAAGAAGATAATCATTGCACAGTTGCTGAGGCGCCACAGGAGTTCTATTCGAACTAATGTACAATTAATAACATTAAATGTAAGTAGTTTCCTTCTAAAATACTAACTCCAAAAGTCTATAAATACCTCCTGTAAAAACCCTGAGAAGAGATCGGAAATCATTGTTCCAAATAATAATAATAATACTGCCTTACGCTGCCATATTTCGATATCTTGTTAAATTTAGCTCTCGTAGTTGGATTAAACTCCATCATTTGGTGCTTTCATTTAGAGCTATGTCAACGAAGACGAGGATTGGATCCAGTAGTCACAACTGTATGGGTAGCAGTTAAGGCGACGACCGTTTCCATCAAATCGTGGGCGGGAACGGAGATTCAAGGTTTCGACAAAGTGATTTCCGAAAACGCGATGATGATGAGACAATCCAAAGCAACTCGGGGGATCGTCCTCTCGGCGCTAGGGGCTCCAGGCACACAACGGTGCGACCATCACAATTTTTGGTGCCGGGTATCGGACGCGAAAACCCCAACGTGGATCCAGAACGAGCCCTACTAACATTGGATGGACTGGCCTCAATCTCAAAGAAAAGGGAGGTCGGAGTCCAACTCGAGGACGATTGCCAAGAAAGAGATCTAGGCCTACAAGAACGCCTGCACATCCACCAAATTTATGTCGGACCTGCCGGAGGGGACGCCGTGGGGAAAAGAAGGGAGTGGGATCGCAAATTGTTCATCGGGAAAATCGACCATCTTCTTGCTGGCAGAAGGATGATGTGGGAATCCATCACCTTCACGGACGATGATCTCCCCCCGTGTTCCCCGCCCCACAGAGATGCTCTGCTAATAAAGATGGGAGTTATGGATGCAATCGTCCATAGAGTTCTCGTGGACAACGGAAGCTCGGTCAATATTCTATACATGGATACTTTCGTGGAGATCGGGCTTCAAGAAGGAGCACTCAGACCGGTAAAAACCCCTTTTTTAGGTCTCACCGGAGACACGGTTGAGCCAGAAGGAGTAATCACCCTCAAGATCCAGCTTGGATCAGACCCATGTGTCCAGAAGATCGCGACAAATTTCGTCGTTTTCCAGCTGCCTAGTGTGCACAAGGCCATCCTAGGCCGGACTCCAAGTTGGTCATCAAAAAGCTTAGAAGGGAATATGAAGCTGATAAGTCCATATTTAGACACACATTTGATGCGTGTTGAGGTCGGCTTTTGATGGTTTTCCTAGCTTTAAGGTGTTACAAGTCTCAATTTTAGCTCAAGTTATGTTTAACAGGCGTTGGTCCGAGTTTTGTGTCATTTGGAGTCAAAATCAGGATTTTAGAGTTCGGCACTGGCGCTTGAGGAGAAATCGG